TACATTATTGCTGAAGTGCCAAAAATTAGAAACTGCAGTAGGAGTATGTTTTAAGTCATTTAAATGAAGGAATAAACAGGAATAAATCTCAGTAAGAACAATAAAGATAACCGGAATCCTTGTAATCTGAGGCTTATCATAAGTACTTGATGCCTAGCTGCTGTGCTGAAGGGAGGAAGGATTTAGGAATGAAAGGACTGTGTTCAGAAGGTCTGGGACCAGGGAACCTGTGTATAAAACAGGCAGAGGTGATGTCCTCAGCCCATGTGGGGACTGTGAACATGCCCACTGGATCTTGCTTTATTTAGTGCAACATATGTTCCATTCTGCTAGTCAGTTTTATTACTTTTGTGTTGGATTTAGACTAGAACAGTAGTTCTCAGCTTTTTTAATGCTATGACCCTTTAATACAGTTCCTCATGTTGTAGTGACCCCAACCATATAATTATTTTGTTGCTACTTAATAACTATAATTTTGCTATACTATTATAATCATAATATAAATATCTGATATGCAGGATGTCTGCTATTTGACCACCACAGGTGGAGAGCCACAGCTCTAGAAGGGCATCTCCTTTCTCGAGCTAGCCAAGTCTGCACACATCCCATGACTTGGGCAAAGGCCCCCTACCTCTGGAGAAGAGGATATCTGAGGGTGATGTTCACTAACTGGGGTGTTGGTGTATCTCCCAAACTCCCAAACACAATTATGTGCCTAGGGATCCAGCAAATACCAAAATCCATACAGTGAGGTGGATTGGAACATCGTTGTTTCGCTTTATATTCGTTTTATAGCTTAATATATGTGTATGTATACATAGGAGAAAGGACCTATAGGCTCTGTTGAATTAAAATGGCAATATTGTCATTGCTTAGGGCATATATGACCCATGATTTTGCCTAGGCTGGAGGCTCCTTTGTTCTAAGGTATTCACCCTCCTAATTTCTTTCATTCCAACTGTGTTGGATGGCAGTCTCAAAGGTAGTTGGGGAAATGAGTAACAGAGGCATCAAGGGAATTTTAGGAACTATGGTCATGCTTGGTCTTAACTGGCTCCAGCCAGTAGTCATAATGGGAATGTCATTAGATTTGTTTTTCAAGAGAAAATGGAAATCACACACACACAAAAATGAATTAGTACCCAACATTATAAAAATTCCAAGGGAGCAAGAGCATGCCACAGGGCTGCTGGAACTACATCTGTGCCTCTAGGACTGGCTCATTCCCATTTTCTAGAGACCTCGATATGAGATCAGTACTCACTCTGAAGCATTCAGTTTTGTATTGGGATAAGTACTCTATTCAGTCCCACTTAACACATACATGTCGTATCACATTCTGTATCAGGTTGGAAGATAAAATCCCCATCAAATTGTAGTCCCTGTCTTCAAGAAGCTTATGGAGCTTTACATAGTGGTGGTACCATAGCCATGATAACGAGACTTATCCAAGGCATGATTAATGCTATTTGAAAACTTTCCTCAATGTCCTGCAATATAGTCAGCTGTGATAATCTTTCACAGTCTCCATGGTGACTATAAAAAATAAAAAAAGAGTAAGCTCATGGTTTGGTATGATGAGCAAAAGCATTTTAGTCAGGGTATTCTGGAACAGAGAACACATCTATCTGGAAAGAACTCTTGAAGTTGGTATGTCAGCCTGAGCATGGCGGGTTCTGTCTGGGTTTGTTGTTACATACTCTGCAGTGTCTCAATGCTCACTACTGCAGAGAAAGTTATGAATTAGCATATATTGGTATTTTATTATGAGTTCTTTTATTTGGTATCTTTTAAGACTATGGTTTTGTTCTAAACAATTTTACCTTGGTCCAGTGCTGTGGAATGTTCTATATGTTGTGAATAAATAAAACGCTGATTGGCCAGTAGCCAGGCAGGAAGTATGGCATAGGTAGGACAAACAGAGAGGAGAGGCTGGGAGATGGAAGTCTGGAGGAGACGCCGCCAGCCTGCGATCCAGGGAGCAGCATGTAAGGGCTACAGGTAAAGCCACAGAACACATGGCACATATCGATTAACAGAAATGGGCTGAGTGTAAGAGTAAGAGCTAGACAATGGTAGGCCTGAGCTAATGGCCGAGCAGTTTAAATAATATAAGCGTCTGTGTGTTTATTTTATAAGTGGGCTACGGGACTGCCCGGGCTTGGCGGGACCCTGAGAGAAAAATTCAAGCTACAGTCCAGGCCAAGTCCCTGGTTCATGAGAGGTAACTGCCAAACTTTCCAAATGGAATGTCTGTATTGTCCATGGTGAACTCCTTGGACCACAGCTGACATGGTTTATAATGAGATGACTCGGGGTTGGCCAGCCACACCCACAGTCTTAGGAAGCTGGTAACTATAGGAAGCTCAAACTACCTTAGAGGCCTGTGATATCACTCTGACTTCTGGCAAAAAGAGAGCACTGGAGATGGAATATGACCATGGAGCTGATGATGCAATTACTTGTGCCAATGTATGAAACCTTAGTTAAAAACGTTGGTCACCAAAGTTTGGTTTAGCATCCTGATTGGCAAAATGGCTGTGGAATATGGGCGACTTTGCATTTGAGTTTTTTTCTTGATGTGGTTGTAGGCATATCTCTTTTGCATGGTTCTCATGCCTATTCTTTCACTATAATAACAGTACAATCACGACGCATTTTCGAGTTCTTGCTGTTCAGTGAATTACCAAAGCTGCGGAAGGCTGTGGGTATAAGGGCAGCTCTTCAGTGGCTTTAGACTGACACTGCTGTCCCACTTTCTTTTTTTAGTTCTTAAGAAAAACTTGAATGTTCTGAGAATAAAACACCCTCAGATAAGGAGGGCTGGATAGGATAGCCTGGGCTATGTTCCCTTACCCCTATAAACAGAATGTGCTTTAGCCTGGAGAGTCCTGGCTATTTCAGAGTATAAAACACACAGTGGGCTGCTTTCGGGGAGGCAGTTCCACAGCTGTGAGGCATGGGCAGTTGGGACTCTAGCTGTCTTGGAAAGCTTTCCTGAGCCAAAGACTAGCATAGAGTGAGTCTTCAGCTTCTGTGATTACTGACAAGTAATCAACCTACTTCATGTGCCCTGTGTATATACACAGTGTTTCACTGGACTTAGACAAAATTCAACTTATACGCCGTGAAACTGTTACATTAGGACATCCACATCTACAGCAGTGTCTATAGCGCAGTTTGGAGACACTCGTCTCTTTGCAGTTTAGCAAACTCATTTCAATTGATGTTTGGAGTCCTGGGTGGACTTGGGTAGATGACGACTTTAAGCTCAGTTTTGGCTAACTCTGGTTAATGGCATAACTTTCATTTATGGAATAAGAAATATAAGGAGAAGATGAAATCCTTTAGGATCAATAGGAATTCTTCCTGACCAAACTGAATGTGTGAACACACAAGCATGTCTGAGCAGTTCTGAGGGAAGCCAAGTCAGACAAACATCCTGTAGAGGCCAGGAACCTGGAGGTATAATCAATGCAGTCAACATTTACATAGATAAAAGAATGCTATGACATCGAAGTCATTTGCATATGAAATGAGCTGTTGGGAATGAGGCTGGAGGACTGGTCAGGTGACTGAGGACCTCAGAACCAGGTGACAAGGTGGAGGAGATGCTACTGAGAAGGGGAGCAAAAGAATGCGTTATCCTTATCTAAGTCCCTCCAGGAAGTCTGATGTTCCTTGGGGCCCGGCATTTTCTTGACTCCTCTTCCCCTTCTGAAACACTAAGGGAAAACGGGACCAATCTTTGGCCAGTGTGTCTTTCCATTTTCCTTGGCAGCTGGAGGCTTAGGGCATGCTGGGTGATTGTTACCCGTTTTATTCCCAGGAATTAGGGAACCTTTCCCCTGTAGTTTTCTGCAGTAAGACGCCTCCTATTACCTAGTGGAGCTCCTCTCACGGGGCAGAGGAGTTGTGTGCAGGATTCTTGTCACTCTTGGCCTGAATGTCCAGAGAGAAGGAGCTCACGCTATACAAAGGCCATCTACTTGGGGACAGTTTTAATTATTATGGGTTCCTTTCTTGTGTTAGACTGGTGTTTTCTCCTTTTGAAAATTTCTGCTGATCCATTTTATGTTTCTTTTGGGAAACAATCTACTAATGTGATGGTAGACAAAGCTGATGATCATAGGCATTTATTTAGAACTTGTTACAGTCCAGGCACCAAGAGTTTTAACTTATGTCTTCATTACTCCTTAAAGCTATTCCATGGGATGGTAATTCTGGCTGTCCTCATCTTCCAGATGAGCAAACTGAGGCTTACAGTTTGGTGTCTTATATGAGCTAGGATGGAATGCACTCATACTTGCCTTTGTTTCCTTGAGCACCATTTAAGATACATCTCTACCATGAGTATTTCAGGAAGGATATTTTAATATGAGCTCACAAATCTAAGTTCACTACGTTTTCTGTATCTCAATGAATATTGCTAGTTTATGTTTTCATTCTGAATATGTATACCCATATGGCCATGTGTATATATTAATATAAAAATTACTACAGAACCATTCTCAAATTCTTTCAACTGCTGCTGACTTCATGAAAATATTCTTTTCATAATGCCTTAATTCAGTTTGGCTCATATTTTTTAGCAGAGAATTTGATTTTAGTTCTATTTACCCCTGTGGTTTTTACTCTTCATTGTTTCTGTTGCAAGCATATATGATTCTGTGGTTTCCAGCTGCCTGTTCTGTCATATTTTATGACTGCCTCTTAAAGAATCCCATGTTCCAGAACCATTGAATAATTGAACTACTCAAGAGGAATCAGTCCATTCTTAAAGACAGTACTGTCACTCCCAGTGAGATTTATAGGGAGATAATGGCCGTGGAGATTCTTGTATTTTGTGAGGTATTGTTAAGAGAATTAGAAGAGAGAACACAGACTGCAGTCTGCCTTGTGTTCTATACATTTCCCTTTTGATATCATACTGAATGATACTCTCCCTGATATTTATACACAAAACAGTCATGTGTGGAAATAATGTAGATTCAACTTACAGGCTGTCCAGGTTCATCTCCCCCGAGGATTCTAAAGCCAAATCCAGACTCCATCCTTCGAAGGTGGACATCCAGTTCCTTATAATCTGGACCTGGCATAAAGGAAATCCCATTGAATAATGAATACTGCCTCTTCCCCACCTCCCAAGGAACAGAACACACCAATGATAAATTAATTTGTGGATGTGATTTATGAGAGTGCTGTTAGTCAATGAAAAGCACAGAGGATAGACAATACATGGTAGCAAAGAAGTGCACACCCTAGATGTGTGTAGTCCCCAGAATGGCAGTGAGCACCTAGAGCATCATCCACAGGTAGAGAGAACACATGAGTTTCTGAGTGAAGAAAGTTGATGGCTCTATCATTTTTAATTTTCCTGAGAGCTTTTGGATTACCTTTAAGAAGCTTGTCTGTGACTTTGAGGATGTTTGCTCTGATTTTCTCAGAAAGCAGTGAGAGAGCAGATGGCAGAACCTGCAAGTGTCTATTTAAGTCCTGCCTCGTGGGCTGCTACCGTCTGTTTACAATTTGATGCATCCAGTGTTGGCAATGGTGGTGGTGGCTGTTGCTGCTGCTGCTGCTGCTGCTGCTGCTGCTGCTGCTGCTGCTGCTGGTGATGGTGGTGGTGGTGGTGGTGGTGGTGGTGGTGGTGTGTGTGTGTGTGCGTGTGCATGTGTTATAATTTATGTCTTTTTGGGTATGCTCCTTTAGTCTTTCCATAAGGTACAGGCAGAACTCTATCCAGGTCCAAGAAGAATTAATTAATTAATTAATTAATTAATTAATTAATTAATTAATTAATATCTCAAAAGTAAATTAGAGCAGGGATATCCATCTAAGGTTGGACCACAAGAACAAAAAATGGACCTTTAAGAGAGATGGAAAACTCTCCTGAATGGCATTCATTTCATTTCTAGGATAAAGTAAAACCACGGGAAGTATTTTGACTCTCCAAGGAGAACATCACATGTCTCATTTTGTGCCTTTTTTTAGGGGAAGCATGTCAATTATGAGAGATTGTGGGTTTTCATGCCCCTGTTAGCATGTCAGGATGATCATCAGTCTGGAGGAATATTTATTAAGCTATTTTGGACTTTAGAAATATTTAGCAATTTCTGGACTTTTGTGGTTTAAAGGTAGTATTAGGAGCAGGCATTTGATAAAATTCTCCTTGCTTAAACAGGACAGTTTTGGAAATTAGAATGAGATTTCAGAGGATAATCCCCATGGGACAAAAATCAAAATCTTAAAAACACTAAGCCACTTAGATATAGAATATTAGTTACAGTAGACAGGGCTCGCTGAGTGATAACCTACGTATTTCTCCCAGCCTCATTGGTAAGGGACTATACAGAGGCCACTGAATACAGCCATTCTAGCTAGGCTTTGTATTCAACCACCTGATCTGTTTTCAGTGACAAATGAAAGGCAAGACATCTGCTTTTGACATATGGGCAAATGATAGTTACCTGGTGCTTTCTTAAGAGAGCTGCCCTGGCTCATAGACCTGTGTATGCCGTGCAAGACTCACAAGCATCTGTATCTGTTATGATTAAACATACACACAACCAAGGTCTCTCCTGTTCAGCTACTGATACAGGCCATCAAAGAGGAGTAACCATCAGGCTTCCATTATCCTGTATGAACTTTATAATCATTCGTGTTGTAAAGATGGGAAAACTTAGAAGCATTCAATTATTAGTTAGAATTAGGTGGTGAAGAAATGATGAACACTTTGCTCAGCACTATATGAGACACAATGGTCTTTAAACTCAGTAGCCTTTGTACATCTGGAGGCAGGTGGGACATTCCTATAAAACCATAGCGACAGAGAAATGCAAGGGGGGTATATACGGGAGATGAGAGCTAATAGCCCATCACAGTCCAACCTCTGTGAGCTTGTTAGGATGCTACTCATCCTAACCTCCTCTCTAGAAACATAAGAAATGAAAAAAAAAACAGTGACAGTGTTTTTGTATTTAAAGAGACAGACCTTTGACCTAATTCCCCTACCCCTTCTTGTATGACTGATGTGTACCCACAAGTGGAAAATTGCTCCTTCAGTGATTATGGTACCTGTCATGCTGCCAGAGGGACTCCAAACGGGTTTAATATATGCTACATCTTATTTGTTAAGAGATTTTCCCTATAAGAAAAGACCAAAATTATGATGATCCCAGGAATGGAGTTCTGAGATGTGTCAAGGTACAAGGAGTTTGGTTTATGTTGGAGAGTTGTCGTTTGACATAAACGCTTTTCATTAGCAAATGAATCAATTTTTTTAAAGTGGAAAAAAATTCCTAGATCTTATCAGTCAATTTATTCAATTCTGAGAAACAGAGATGTGAACAAGGTAGTACTTTCTGATGTCCTTTTTCCTGACAATTATAAGCCTGTGACTTAAAAAAAAAAAATCGTGTGTGTTTTTATACACTACTGCCTGCAGAGACCCAAACATGGCATTGTATCCCCAAGAGCTAGAGTTGGGAACAAAACTCAGGTACCCTGGAGAGCAAGTGCTCTGGGATGCTGAACCATCTCTCATCCCGTGAGCTCTGACTGTTGCTCTGACCTGCTGTGTCTTCAAACACGGAGTAGGGGCTGTGTTTCACCCTTCTGTTCTTACAACAGGGCACCCAAGTAAGAGAGACACAGAGGGTCACCAGAGAAGTATGCCAGCAGATGTGACTTATTCATTTCTTTGTTAATTTTGAACAGAGGCTGCAGGGCCTCGAAAACATTAGAGACACAATTAGCTGGAAAATAGCTTAAATGATAGATTGTCTTACGTGGTATTTTTTTTTTTTAATAAGAGCTTTTAGAAAGAAAATTTTTCTTTTGTTTTCATTTTCCTCCTGAATCTGGCCTTACAAAATAAGTAAAATTATATGCACAAAGATGGGATGCATTGTTCTTTTTCCTCTTTGCTTTGTTAGGAAAGAGCTGGTGTTTTTAAGACCTCACCTTGGCGGCTTTCCTAACCTGATGGCAGGCTCAATTTCTGTACCATGTTTTATCTTCCTCCTTATTAATGTAGTAATCTCAGGGCAAACACTTCCTCCTTTAGCACTGCAGTTAATCATCCCCACCCTCCAGCTTGTCTAGAAGTAAACTGTGCACCTGGGAGCTTATTGGATAAAGGGGCCTGGCAGTACCTAACCTGGCCTGAGTCACTCAGCCATGCCCCTGACAGCCTTTTCTTTTCTCCTCCCTTGTTTGTTTTCTTTTGTTCTTTTCTCTTGGTCCTTTTAGAAGGACTGTGGGGGGCTCTGAAGACATTGCCTCTGATGATTAGCTATGGCCAACGCTGTGTCTTCCTTATGAGCTGAGCCCCAGTAGACACAGGCATTAAGAAACAAAGCGTTTCATGACACTCTTCTCTGATGGGCTCCTGTATGACCTTTGAGGGAATGAACAAGCCCTAATTTATCCCAGGCTCACACCAGTACTATAGAAGCTTACATTCAAAACATAGTAAGCAAAGCCCAGTGTGGTGGTGCAAACTGTAATCCCGGCCCCTGGGAGGCAGACTCAGGAGGATCGACGTGAGTTCAAGTCACAAGACTGAACTACAGAGTGAGACCGTCTCAAAAGAAAAAGAGCAGTAAACGCTTGTTATCTGGACAATTTCCCTCATAATAAAGGACAGCGGAATTTTAAAGCTGATTCCTGTCTGCGTTAAGATCCCAGAAAACTTAACATGCTATTAGAGCGTGTGCAAAGCATGGTTTTGAGCCAACATTGAGGGCGAAGGCTGGATGACTGAACACAACTGATCAATTTTATGAATGGATCCAATCTTCAAAACTGCAAAGAATGGCATTTTTAACAGATAATTTGGCACATGGGATGCTATTATAAATGTCAACTAAATTTTGACAGTTGAATCCCGTTCATGTGTTAATTAAAACAGAAGTGCTATGGCTTATCACATTTGGCACAGAGCCATTGTTTATTTATTTTTCTTATTGAAAACAATGTTGCTGTTTTTGGCTTTCTCTTGTAAAGAGAACTAGGAGAGACTGAGGAAGGAATGAGGAATTGAAGGTCATTAAATATACCCATGGGTTCTGGATTTTCAAGCACTCTAGATACTTAATGAGTTAAAGAAGAATTAATTGGTTTTGATCACTGGAATCAAACATTACTAGATAAGCAGCTCATACATTTGGCTCTGAAAGAATCTCTCTTCCTCACCTTCCCCATTTATTCTTTTGGTGATATGACAGTAGCCAAGCATGCTGTGGCCATAATAGAAGCTATCTCTTTTCTAGCTCTCTTCAGTAGCCTGCAAACAACTCGGATTTCTTGAACCCTAAATGTTGCCTTCTCCCCTATGATATCTAGTCTTTCACAGAAATCTAGTCTTTGCTCCATCTCTCACTTCTCTCTTGGCCAGGTTGGTTTCTGCTCTCTGATTACTGAATTCCTTCCTTTCTTTTTTCTTCCTCTCCCTCTTCCCTGCCCTCTCCCTCTCTCCCTCTCTCCCATCTCTCTCTCTCTCTCTCTGTTGAGACAGGGTCTTTCTACATGGCCCTGGCTGCCCTGGAACTCACTATGTAGACCAGGCTGGCCTTGAACTAACAGAGATCTGCCTGGCTCTGCTTCCCAGGTGCTAAGATTAAGGCCATGTGCCACCAAGCCTGGCTTGATTACTGAATCCTTTAAGGTCCTTATAACACTTTAATAAACTCAATAGACTTTTTCTTATTGTTCATTTGAGTGATTTCTGTACCTCACTGATACTGCTGATTTCACCTTTATGGTCCCAGCTTCTTAAAAAAACATCCTATTGCAGATAGTCCACAGATTACTGTAACAGGTACCCACTGCAACATCCTAAAAAAAGGTTTTCTTTGTAAATTGTTTCTGTGGTACTCTACAGTTGGGCTCATTTTGTCTGGCTGTCCTGCCTTTGATAATTTCATAAACACGTGAGAAATTTTTATCAGAGAGCTGTTTATTGAATATAATCATGATTTCTATGATTTTTTTGATAATTTATATGTACACTTAACAAAATATTTGGATTGGTTCTTTCTTGAAAATGAGTCACACATTATAATAAGATATTCAAACTATAATTTTTTATCTTTTGCATTTTGAATGTAAAGTATTACTTTGTACATGTATCAAGATAATCTAAGCTATTGGGCAACCTTTCTCCTCTTATTTCTGAATAAAATATATTTAGACATTGAGATTTTTCAAGAATTATATTTTCTGAAGCTACTTTAAGTGAGCTTTAGATTCCCATATTAAATCCTGATTTCATTTTTTACCCATAATTACTAGGCCTAACTTTCTCTCTGGGCATAAGATATTCTTAAACATTACAAGGATTTTACAGCTAGCCTTTGAGTTAGATGATAGATTACAGACCAAGATAAACAATTACTTTAGACATTATTTGGATGCTAAGTAGTATCTTCCATGTTTTGTACACACTCAAAGAATGACATAGAAACTTCGGGAATGAATGATTTCCCAAGGGACATTAGAGCACACTGGGATGGATAACTAGTTATCATCACAGAAACATACTAAGGATGTGTGCTGAAGCCCACAGACCTGGAAGGGAGCTATTACTAAGAATTACTCCTTCCTGCAATGCCTTGAGTGTCCGGGGTTCCAATCTAGTAGGCTAACCAGCTGTTAAGAGTATTTCACTAGCAACTGGAGGAAGAAAATCTAACTCTTCTTTTTCCTCATTCATGTCAATGACAATATTATATTTCAGTTTACATCACAAATAATAATGTTTGTTTGGAAGGGATAAGTAAAATTATTAAGATATTTCTTAAGTTCAAAAACTAGAAGCTATGATATTGTACCCTAACTCAAAATAGTATCAAAATATAACATTTTGTAATTGGAATTATTTAAAAGACCAAATTGATATAGGCATTTAATTCAGCTCAAAATGATTTCAATCTGTGTTAGCAAATTCTTTAATAAGATTTTTTTTTTTTTTAGAAATATTTAGTTTTCCTCTCTTGAGATGTTCTACCTTCTTATTTCAATTTCTCTGGTTTAGCAAGATCCAATTTAAATAAGATGTAAATTATAGAAGTTATTTAATATTGCCAAGCAGCCACTTTTTAAAAAAAGTTTAACAAATAATATCAATTTTAATAACATATTTTAACTTAATTATCAAAATACCATCTGTTCTGGCTGGTTTTGTGTCAACCTGACACAGCAAGAGTCATCAGAGAGGAGGGAGCCTCTGTGGAGGAAAGGCCTCCTTGAGATCCAACTGTAAGGCCTTTTCTCAGTTAGTGATCAGTGGGGGAGGGCCCAGCCCATGGTTGGTGGTGCCATCCCTGGGCTGGTCCTGAGTTCTATAAGAAGGTGGGCTGAGCAAGCCATGAAAAGCAAGTCAATAAGCAGCACCCTTCCATGGCCTATGCATCAGCTCCTGCCTCCAAGATTCTTCCCTGTTTGAGTTTCTGTCCTGACTTTCTTCAGTGACAAACAGTGATAGGGAAGTATAAGCTGAATAAACCCTCCCCTGGCCCCAACTTGTTTTTTGATCATGATGTTTTATTGTAGCAATAGAAACCCTAAGACACCATCTTAACATAAAACAAGGCTTATTTTTGTACTAAGTCTTTGAGATCCAGTGTGAATTTCACACACATTTGATAATACATCTAAATTTGCATTATACTACCGAGTGACTGCTATACAGTCCGATGGTTTTCTTTGACATTTGGTTCTAAGTGTAGTCTTTTAGTAATTTTTTAATGAAGGAATTCATTAATATTTGTCTTTGTTTGCAAGCATCCACACCCACCACGATGAGGCTTGCCCTCTGTCTTGAACACATACGATGTAGGTGATTTATTTATCACAGTGAATATTACATAGTGAAAAGTTGATACCACTCAAGAAAATGACTGGTTACACAAAGTGAAAGACGTGCATTCACAGAACTGTGAATTCTGAATACTTGCCAGAGGAATCCATTCGAAAACTGGTCCTGGGTGGCACTTGTTCTGGATGGGAAAACGGGGAATTAAAGTTGAAATTCATTGATGGCATTTTAAAATTCATCTTTACTTTCTTTTTGTTGATACTATAAGTCCCCCAACCCAAATCCTATGCTCATGTGTATTTATTTTTTCACTTGTTCCTAAAATCCTTTGAAGTTGGTGGATAGATTTACCTGCCTATATGTAAGTGTGTATATTTATGTATTCTCATATATACGAAAATAGAAAAATATGGATTCTTTTATCAGCATGGAAAATACCATTTCCAAATCTTATTAAGTTTTTATTTTCACCATATAAGGATATTAATTTGGAAATATGTTAATTCAGAACCTGAAATCGATGCAACAAGAGTCCTTCAAAATCATATTATGATGCTTTTTCATAGAACACTAAGATGAAAAGTGAAAATTTCAATCTGTGATCATGCTGATTTAACACCAGTCCAAATATTTTGAGATTTCTAATAATTTGGATAGCAGAAGTACTGTCCAAGTAGTTGAATTAAACTGGTTCATTCTAGAGCCTTTATGAGAATTATGATGTGGCCTACAATATATCTAACAACATAAATTCATTAATATCAACATGAAATATCTTTTAAATGTAGGAATGTTCATATGTCGAATTTTAGGACCCTGGAAATCTTGGTTCTCTGTATTGGAAGTATTTGGAGGTCAACTGTGCTCATGGATTAAGATTTATGAGGGATAAATATGGACACATGCAGGTCTTCCTTACCTCCTCACAGATGTGCTTAAGAAATAGAGATGTCCTCTGTAACTATTGAGAATATAGAAAATGACATTACTAAACTGTCCCTTGAGTTTTATTCTGCTTTTCTAAGCTACTGCACAACAGAGAGAAGAAGAGATGGGCTGTGAAGATCAGAAAACACTTCATCGTACAGATGTAAGATAAGCCCAGGATGCTAAGAGACTCCTATTACTTGTCCTGTACTTTATCCTAGATAACTCTTCAAGATCATTTTTAGGAAAAATTGCACAAAAGTATCTTTTTGTTTTTAGCTTCCTTGTAATTAAAATTCACTATCCAATAATGTGCTCTTTCTTTACTATTACTGTGGAAATACCACTCCCCTACACTCCTTTGTTGTTACAATGTCCTTCCTTTCTTCTCTTTGACCTCCTTTTTGACTTCCTTCTTTCCTTCCTTCTTGCAGACAAGAAAGGCTATACAGCTCAGGTTGACCTCAAACTCGGAATTTTCCTGCTTCAGCCTCTCAGCTGCTGAGATTAGAGGTGTGTGCTACCACTCCCTGTTCACAAGGGTATAATTTCTTTCCTATCATCTTCAAATATTCTTCCTCTTCCTTTATAGTTCTGTCCATAGACACATTCCTAAACCATATGATGGGGTTTAATCTGAATCACACAGAGTCATATGTATATAAACCCCTTGCCAATAAACACCCAAGAAAATAGGGTTATGTTAGGATGAGTAGATCCATCTGAGAGTGGCAGGATACTTCTGACTTTATGACAAACTTAATATAGATAATCATACTATCAAAAATTAAAAGTTACCAAATCCTTCTAGGGTATAATGTGTACTATTGATAAAATAATTGTAAGTTTTTCTTGCAAGCATCCTCCTCCTTATGTTTAATATGCAAATCAGATTTAAGTTGGAATGTATGTTAGAACATTATTATTACAGTCACATAAATGATTATGTAGCTATGATACATAATCACATAAGTGATTATTTATTTTAGAGTGGTCAACTTAAGAGTATTCTAGTAGATTGAGGAGAATGTATCACAGAACATCTCAATGTTAGGTTACCATCATTGTATGATAGAGTAGTATTATATGGAGCAGTATAAATACTGGTGTTTTATCAACAAGTTAAAAAATATTACAATGACACTATATTGCTCCAGTCTGGAGCACAGTTCATTATTCACAGTGAGCTAGTTTTGTTTGTTGGGGCACTGTAGATGGATTTTTCTTTGGGATGCCAACTCACAAAAAACAACATGGAGACTTATTAATTATGAAAGTTCAATCTTAGCTTAGGCTTGTTCCTACCTAGTTCTTATAACTTAAATTAACCAAATTTTTAAATCTACATCCTTTTATGTTGCTTGGTTATTTTACTCTGTACTGTCCATCCTACCCTCACTGGGTCTCACTTGTGACTCTGCCTTTCTTCTTCCCAGAACTCTCTGTCCCCAGAAGTCCTGTATAACCTCTTCCTGCCTAGCTAATGGCCATTCAGCTCTTTATTAAACCAATCACAGTGACACATCTTCACACTGTATAAAAGAATATTCCACAACAGGCATAGTTATCATGCCTGCCAGGGAAGTTGTGTAAAGGCAAATTAGTTTTCTAGCAGGAACATTCCTTTTTAAGAGCCTTCATGTTTACTGTGGCTGTCTAGGATTTTGATTGAGAAATATTCTGTAATCAGAAGGTGGACTCATGTCAGGGATGGAAGACGTCCATCTTCTAAACACTCCCAATAGTGTGACACTGACACTTTATGCTATCATAATCTCACTAAAACTCACTTGCTATGTAGCAATTAAATTCTGTTTACTGAAGCCCTGATGGTCTCATATTTATTTATAAAAATACTTTGGGTTACACTGGGAATTTGCACTGCTGACACTCTGACACCAAAGAACACTGAGGTAAGGACTGAGTTTGGAGTCCACTTTTCACAGTCTTCTGCCCTTCTACCCTGTATCTAATTTCAGAGGCACCAACTTTTAAATTACAGAATAAAATAATTCATAAACTATGGGATTATATCTGTTTCCCAAAACACAGGGAAACTGTGCTATAGCATAATGTTTATTGTACTGTCTATATTATTATTCATATCCATGGTGATTTCCAATTTTAAAAGGAAGCTGATAGAAATATAGATGTTATCATAGTTTTCTAGACAGCCACCCAAAGATACTATTTTTGAAATTACATTTCTGAACTAATCAAGGTCTATCTATAAAAACTGCAAACACAGTTTTAATGGATTTATCGACCTCATTTTCAAAATGTTACAAAGGCAAAGTGATATATTAGAAGTGCCAACTAAAAGACAGCCCTCCTCCCCCCACTACACAGGTCAAATCATAAACATAAATCGCATCAAGGATAGAGTGATAAAAAGTAGAGAAAATTTACATTTACAGTACAGTTGAGGGTATTAAAATGATAATGTGATACATTTTCTCTCTTTTATGATCCTAATGTTAAGTCACAGGTAAGAGTATCTGAACACTTTTTATATCTCATTTAAATATTTCATTACAATAAGATTATGTTTGAAAGAACACAGGTGAGAGGTAAATTAATTAAGGCTGCAGGACACCATCACCAGTGTTCAGGCAGTTCAGCCCAGGGCTAAGCCCCATGTTTAGTTGCAAGCATGCTCCTTGTATGGCAAGATGCATTCTCATGACTACTTACATAGCTGCCTGCATTTGTGGCATCCATACATTTGTCCTTTCCAGCATGTAATATCGAGCACTGAATCTCATGGGTTCTGGAGTCAGGCCAGCTCAAGTGAAAGACTCACATGGCATTCTGGGCTCTCATTCCGAGCACAGAGGAAGCTACTTCCTTGTGTGATGTGGGCATCCCAACGTCACTTTCCTGACTCTCATGGTGTGTGTGTGTGTGTGTGGGGGGGTGATGATGTCATTTTCTACTTCATCTTTCCAAATACCTCTGTGATTAGGATGGGAGGCACTGCAAATGCCAACCTTCGTTCACTAATAACAAGGAAGGAGCAGCCAGAAGGCCAACATTTGGCCTGTGAACAATATGAACTGTGTGTGCATTGCTTCGAATAATGGAAGAGTTCAACAATGAACAACAAGAAGGAAGGGTAGAAGCCGTAGCGTGAAAACCACACTTGTCTACCCTCGACCTGTTGTACATTATAGTTTTATTCCAGGTGTAGGGTGTAGTGCTGAAAAACACCGTGCATCTCTGTTAGGCTCTGTGACCATCAGGACTTTTGGTTGTTACCTTTGCTGAGACCCCCGTGGCTTATTATGGTTTCTAATCTCTGGAAAGAAAAGTGAATAGTGTGAGCTGTTAGTGGAGAAATTCAAGAGGAATTTCTATTTTACAAAGGCTATCACTTCAGATACATCAGACAGGCCCTTGACATGTTTATGATCATACTCTTGAGTGATATATTACTGTGAAGTAGTGTGGACATGTTGAACCTCTTAAATTGTTATTTATAATAACCAAGTTTCAATGTGAAGAGAGAAAAGGTTTGGGTAACTTCAGTGGTAATTCACTTCAGCTTCAAAGCAAGGGGTGGGCCTGAGGGGAGAGCATCCGAGAGCAAGGGTTTTTTTTTTCCACTCTTCTGCTTCAGCTGCATTGTGGGGCATACTCAGAAAATGCCCCTAGGACTTGATGTTGGAAAAGTGAACCTTTAGTCTGGATTTAGAAAAAGTGAAGTAATAAGCCAAGATTTTCCTTTCTCTATCATCATGGAATGGCCTGGGCTTCTGTTGTAAGATCCCGAAGTGAGCTGCACTCCCTCTCTTTGGGAAGCACTTCCCAGTGCCTTGCTACTCACAGAAAGAGATGTGAGGGGCATCGATTTGTCGTTATGGTATACACTCTCTTCTAGGGACCAGAGACAGGCAAGATTATGTCCCTTTCAGTGGGGTGATTGTTGTAATGTTAAGCTGGAGTTAACCTGTGTGATAAGAATGTGAATGGCATGGCCTGATACTGAACTGTGAGGAACTTCCTAACCCGTTTTCCTCCATTTAAGTTTGCCATATGCTAGATCTGAACATGTCCACAATTTCAAGTTGTTGGGGGGAATTTACTGGGAATTTGACTATAAAAACAAGCTGCTGCAAAAGTCATCCTAATGCTAGTTAAAGACAAAACTGGTAGAGGCAAAAACTTGATTAGTTAAATAAATTTCTTGACTAACTGAAAAGAAAACAAAACTTTTTTTAGTGGATGTTAAAACTTTTTATCCACAGTATGTACATTAGATATACACTTTCCTTAGCCACAATGGCTATTTCTTGAATAGACTGTTTAATAAAAGGAAATTATATAATTCATCATGAAAATGAGGATGGTCTAGAGAGTGACAGGGAAACTATTAATAATCATAACAGGCATATCAAGACAAGGACATCCCAGGAAACTCTCAGGTGTAGTTACCCCAGTGTTCATCAAAAAATATTCCCATCTTATCAGAAACACTGGGTTGAAGCAAGGACACCCTGGTGTCCTGGGTTCTGTAAGAAAGTCTCGTCCAGAAATTGTTTCCCTATGTTTTCACCATAATTTTCTAATAAGTAGAGATTATTTCTTGTAAATTTTCTTTCTTGAGTGCTACTAGAGTTTTAGACACACAGAGAATGTTCCATATATTTCTGTTGATTGATGTGGTGCCTTGGGAGCCACCTCTAGGCACCATACCTAGTGCTCTGGAATCGAAGTCACCACCTACCTGCTGGTGGGGGAATCTTCTCTTCCTGCCCTTTTTCTGCTGTCACCCCATCTCAGACCCATCTCATGAAGAGCGGAGGTGGTCCTGGCTTCCCCTCAGGAGTGTGCACCTGCTGTGATCTGTTTCATGTGGCTCTACTAGCCTATGGTTGTCTTTCTTTGTTTAAAAACCACATTTTCCCAGGGAACACATCTTTATTAAGATGTCCTGTGCACGTACATTAAACTGTCAGCTTAATCTAATTAGGAGCCAAATGAGGCATGGCAGCTTTTACATCATTTGATAAATTTCCATCATTTACAGGGGGAATGGTGACTTGAATCCAAATAGTTCCTTACAGTTTTGACAGAACAAACATTCTATAGCTCTGTAGAGCCTGTGTGTAAGTGGAGGAGCATCTTTCTATTTTAACTGCAACCCAGTTCGAGTGTGAATACAAAAATCTTGGTGGCTTCTGGCAAGGTTGCAAGTGGGGAGGGTACCAGGATTTGTAGGAGGCCAGGGAAACCCCAAAGGACTCCCAGATCAGAGTAGACTCTGTTCCTACTTTCCTACTCTCACCAATGCTGTGTTCTCTCCAGAAGAATCTTACAGGCAGAAGTATCAGCAAGCTCTAAATCTAAAGCTCGTGCACAGATTCAAAGGGATGTGCACAGAACTGTTAGTGGTCAAAACTGTGAATATGGCCTTTCTTTTGGGTTTCATAGACTTCCTGGTCATTGTGTTCAAAGTCCTGTTTGAAGGCAAGGGTTAGGCTGGAGTTTCAATCATTAGCTAAGTTTTACAAAGTATTGCTGTAGCTATTTGGGGGGCTGAGGTGGGAAGCAGCCATTTTAAAGCTAGCTTGGGCAAATTTGTGAGACTGTCTAAATAATAATAATAATAAAGGTATTACTCTAAAAATGTAAGTGAGAGAATAAAATGTTTCTATGCTTGGAAATGAGCAGTGTAAAGAGGACCGAAGGCCGTTTGCTTGTTTCAAGAGTCTGGTGGAGAGGAAGGAGGAGCTGCAGCGTGGAGGAGCCGCAGCATGAGGAGCCTGCAGTGGGGACCACACAGCAAGCTCAGAAAGCGGCCCATGCTCAATGGCTCCTCCCTCCGCAGGGACAGAGTTTTTCTTACCTTCACATGCTTTCTGCATTTCATTCCCACCCCATTGAGTTTATGAAATAACACAGTAGAAGGGAAGCATAGGAAAGGAAATGAGCTTGCCCTCTTTCGGCTTCCTGGGAGGTGTGACCTTGAAACATTAGAGTGCTGACTGACACACACTGGAGCATGGACTCTGCAGTGCTGTGGGGACAGGCTCTGGGGGAAGGAACAGAGAAATTTGTTGTTGCTGCTACAACAGCAGCGGAGCAAAGAGCTCCTGGGGGATGGCAAAGAAAGATATGGGAGGTATAGGTGGCTGCTTTGCTCGGGCTGGTGTGTTACAGGCAAGGAGGAAAAAGGCAATGAACAGAAATGGTGCTGCTGGTGCTAGACACAGAAATCCTTATTCCTTCAGGGTCAGGTGGGGGTCATGTACAAGTCCTGTTAAGAAGCTGAGGGCATGGCTGTTTCAGACAGATGTAGAACCAATTCAAAGCTTCCCTCTGTCCCAAATCAGCCTGCTTTGCATCGTTCTGGAAGCTGCACTAGAAGCCAATGACTAACAAAACCAGAAGGAGGCAGATCATCACAGTCCCTGAATGCATCCCAAGCCTAAAGGAAGCCCTGGGCACGGGGATGATACTTTAGTCCTGCAATGTGTTTTGCCATCCAGGTAGGAGCATCTACTGTGTATCCATCCCCTAGTTACACATTTGTTCCTTTCCCCATGAAATCTGTGAGAGCAGGGTATACTGTTCTTTTCTGATGTCTCGCCACAGTGTGAGAGCAAAGGGGGTATTCAATAAACACTTGGCTATTGAAGCATACATGTAGTAAGGGCTGGGCTGATATCTTTGTGGGTTTTTTCTTCACTTTAATGAACACCAGTACCCCAAATTTATGCCCTTCATTATTCAGCTATAACTGCCCATTTTGCCCTGATTTTACTGTAGTAGATACTCCAAGTACACAACCAACTCTCTAAAGTTATTTCAGTCATTTACCCAGAGAGGGAAGAGCAAAATGCAGTAACTTAGATGTAACTGATTATTGAAAAGTGGGTGCATGTGCAGGCTCATTTTGATGAAAATGATTTCTCAGTGGCCTGCTGTCCTAACTATTTTATCCACCAAAATTACTTCTACAAAATGTTACAGAGGATGGGGAAAAGGTATTATGTTTGCTTTTCCCTTTACCAGCTGGGTGATAATTCTCAGCCCCTGAACTCATCAAAGGACTAAGCAGATTCAAGATCCTCTGAGGCCACACACAATTTAGAACTTCCTATTCATGCTTCAGATGATGAAGTTGGAAACGATATAAGAGCAGGGGGGAGTTGAAGCAAAGGAAACCAGCAGACTGTGAAGGGAAGCGCCAGGGACCAAAGCCTTTTAAACCAAACTTGATTTCTCTATCATTTCTCAGATTCTTAGTATTCAGTGTTGTGTTTTATACACCCCTGTCATTGAGTTTCCATGGAGGAGGTGACCTGTACAATATCAGGAAGGGACACAACAAATATATATTTGATATTAAAAGCTCAAATAATTCCAAAGGTCTTCCAAAAGGGAGGCAGGCACATAGACAGGCTTAAGGCAAGTCTCAAATGCACCTGGGTACATTAAATGGTAGTAGAAGATTCAGGCAGAATGATTGGCACCTGCTTCTCCCTGCTTTGGGGACAAATTGACTCATGACTCTGAGTGGGAAAAACTTGCCTGAAATTTTATTTTACTCAAGGCTTAGACTTCTCCAATGGCTGCCTTCAAGGCTCTAAGACAACAAGATATAAGCTTTAGATTCAAGGTCAGGTTGAATGGATTAGAAGTTAGAATAAAAAAAATTGCTTCATTTTATTTGGTGACTTGAACCAAACTAGCAACCCTACTCCATCCTCATTTCTTCAGGATCTTAGGGGCAAAAGTAGGAAATGCAATTTAAACTCCGAAGATACTTTTAGAAACAACAGGTTCTTTATGACAACGTGTACAAAGATTGGCTAGATAGGAGGGCACTTATTCTGTCACACATCAATGTGACTATAGCTAATCATAACACATATATAAATGTTCTTTTTATAGTTATCCTTTCTCTGATATGCTAACTATCCCGATTTGATCATTCTAAAATGTATACATGTATGGCAATATCACATTGTACTCTATAAAAATAAAAGCATTGCCAATTAAAATGCAATTATACAAAAGAAAGCCAGGCTTTAAGGAAAATTATAGACAGATTATCTGTCTTACTTTGGAGATAACTTTGAGCCTCAGAAGGTAAAATCATGCCAGATTATTCAGCCCCCATGTATACCCTCGGCTGGTGTTGACAACTATCAAGGTACCCTTGCTTTACACGGCTTTCACTTACGCCTACTTTCATAAATGGCTCTTGATTTCTCATAGAGCTCATATGGGTCAGGCTTCCGTGGGTCAAAGGCCTCTGTTGAGTCAGGAAAGGAGCTCCTGTGAAGGGCAGGCGGGAAGGGCAGGTTCTGTGGTACGGCCGGAGCAGATAAACTTGTTTGAGGACTGCCTTGGTTCTCCCACCGGTCCATCATCTAAAAGAAAGGGAGGACAGAGAACATGACTGATGATGGATTCAGCCTGGCTAGTTCCCTTGTTACCTTTACAAAAGACTTTCTTGCTTGTGAACTTTTGTCCCCAAGAAGAGCTTGGTACATATGCCTCAGAGGAAAATAATCTCTATTTCTGTGTAAGAATGTAGCATAGATTGCTGTAAGTCAAGTAGTGCCTGGAGTTTGAAAGCAAGCTATAGAACCTTGCCACATAGTAGTTAGGAATCTTTGGCAAACTCTTCATTTCTCTGATGTTTTTCCTTATAAAATATAGCATGCATCCCAGGATCACTTATGTGTATATGTTCAGGGAGAGGGTAATATTTATTCTTTTCTGAAGATGGTCCCAATTTATTATACCATGTCTCTAAAACAGAAAACGAAGCAGACTATACATGTTCATTTAACACCTGTGCACATCCTAACCCCCTCTTACAGCTGAACATTCCATCACTTCCTTTACAGTTTGTACAAACAGGACCATCTGGGATCAATGGACTGCATTCTTTTAGGAAATGTCATTCACTGTGGGTGTGGTAAGGTCGCACCTACAATATCTCTGCTAGCACTATTGTTCAGTGCTTCCTAATAGGCCGTGCGTGATCGCTGGTCTCCACTATAACATGGGGACATACGTGCAGCTAGAACTAATACCAGCCATTTAGCAAGAGGTCTGTTGTCATTGCTTGCTTCATCCTTATCCAACTAGTAGCCCTTCTTTCTAATTCAACTCCCGTCTCTATACTTTTAATAAGCATGCAGTTTGTATAAAGTGTGATGATAACAGCCTCTCGCCTGCAGTTCTGTGCAGGGTCAAAGTATGGTTCTCAGGACCAAGGTCAAATTCCCATCGGGATGTTGCTCCTGCTTTCTTTACTCACTTCCTTCCCTGGCTCCCTGACACTCTTTCCAGCCTCTGAAGCTTTGTAGCCCCCCCCTATTTTTCCTTCTACTTATATCCCCTCCCTCATTTCACCTGGACACTAGATGCAACGGACATCTCCTTTCCTGGAAGAGCTGGCCCAACCATTTGGGTGACCCTACTCAACTCTACTCCCTGCTCCCAGTATCACTTACCACTCCCCGCTGTAAGTACAGGTCCCATATGTAGTAGGTATTCAGAAAGCATTCTTAGTGAATTAATGAACTCATAATTAAAATATGGTCACCTAAAAACTGATATGGATATAAAGCTTTCTATTTTATACTTCATTTCCTTGCTCTTGTTCTTACACTGGATATATTTTAGTCAGATTCCAACTGCCATTCTTGTCTATAAGTCATCAATACTCTTAAGGCTGGAAGGCATGTGAGTGACCACATACCCCTGTACTTCCTAGACATGCCATGGGTAACAGCAGTGATCCCTCTGGCCCATCCCCCCCACTTGGAACTGTGTCAGGGGTTCATGTTGAAACTAAACATAGCAAACTTGGAAATAAGTAGGTTACTGACTCTTAATTCAGTACGACTGGATTTAAATTGTTTCTGTATGGGATCTGGCCCAAGATTTCATTTAGATGGTTTGTATAGTGAGCAAGGATGAGTTCAGCTGCTTCACATTAAATATAATCTCTAGAAGCACAGAGAGGATAATTGGCTTGCCTGAGGTCCAACAACAGATCTTGGTCAGAACCAACTTATAATTCTAACAAGGCTATTTGTTTAAACCATAACACTTTGGGGACAAATTCTGTAAGTATCATAAAAACTAGAGTTAATTTTATCTCATTGGGGCTTTTACTTCTACTTAGCAAAAGCTCTTTAATATACATTTCAAACTTAATAGAGACATTCATATTCCCAGCTCTGCTGGGAATTTTTCTTTTCATCCATAATGGTGACTTCGCTGTGATGTAGGTCACGAGCGTGTCTAAAGGCATATATTTTTAAAATGATTAGTCTAACTGCTTTAGGTACCACATGGACACATTCGAGTGTGACTTTCTCAGTTCTGATTCCACACTTAAGATGTGAAACACTAAAAAGTAAATATGTTAGAAATGTGGTCTGAGAGGTTAACATCCTACCTGCCAACATGGGGCTTCAGGAAATGTACCTTTTTTTCATTTTCCATTGTGGATTTTCTGATATCCACATGTATATTGCTGGTGTGCATATTACTCATGTATAACCACTGAAGGAACTATGCCTCAGGTGAAATATTGGTATTTCTAAAAAAACAGTCATAAAGCTACAGAACAAATAATGCTTTTGGGCATTTTTAGGGGCAAGTTTCTCTGGCAGATTGACTGATTTTACAATTTCTATAGCACAGTGATTGGGAAATTAGTCAAGAGCCCAGCTGATGTGTAGTAAAGCATCCATAACTTCTTGTAATGACATTTGTCAAACCTTGAGTCACCTTGTCAGGGGTGCTTTAAAAACCCTAGAGTAGAAAATCCCTGTCTGCTGAAAAGGAGACCTCTGGTCTTCTCCTCTTTGCTGCTCCTAGCCTGCTCCCTCAAAATAGGCTTACCTGGGATCTCCAACCCAGGATGCTATTGAGTCAACTTTTACCCTGGCTTAGAACCCCCTGTACTGAGGCTGGAAGGTTGGTTCTGTGGACTCCACCTTATTTTCTGACAGATCTTGCTTTCCAGATTCCATGAACACCTTGAATTCAGATCCTGTCCCATCGCCCAGGGCCATGGGTCTTGCTTGTTGTATCTACTGTCTTCCTGGTCTTGGGTCATTCATAACTCATCATACTCGCCAGACAATTTCATCTCTCAACTAGGTTTATTGGGATTCTCTTGTTTTGTCTCAACAGTGATGATAACTAGGTTGATATTTGTAAACATCTCCCTAGAGTGACAATGGAAATGAAGTTTTTTTTTTTTAAATGTGTGGGAGAAACTTTGCTATTTTTGAACTAACGAATGGTGAATGAATACCTGCCACTATGAAATCTCAGGCTCCAAACTATGAGTGGATAGAGTAAACATAGTCTACACCCAGACATCAAACCTTAAAACAGAGAAGCTCATGTGCTTCACCCCCAGTTTCTGATTCTTGGGTATACACAGGAATGAGCAGGCTTTCCCCCAACAAAATGCTATTTCTGGAATTTGTTTTCTTCCTTTTGAGAGCAGGATAAACACAATCTAAAAAGTCTAACCTACTTCCATACTATTTTAGGTGGGGCTGGGCAATGAAGCCATTAGGTTTGATCCTGTGCTTGAAACATACACCAAATCCTGCCATGCAAAGACAATGAGAACTATTATGAGTAGCATTTTACTTATTAGGTAAAGTCCCTGAGGGCCATTTGGCTGAGACCAAGCAGGAGGCTAGGTCTCATTTAGGATGTTTCCTCACTTTAAGTGTGTCATCAGTCTTACTTAGAAGAGGGTGTCTGAGCCCAGACACTGTGGGTATACTGTATTTGTTTCAATGAACCACTCAGCACATTACATTCATTTTGGGGAGTGATTTACTTGCAAAGGATTTGTGCACTGGCATCTGCTTTCTACAATGATAGACATTTATATTTTTTAGCTCACCGTGTTGAAGCACCATTGTAAGCACTTTACATGGATTAACTTAGAATCCTCACAGTGACAGATAAGAGGGCATTACCATTACTTCCATTTTGCAAATATAGTCTTTGAGATGCAGAGATCTTAAGCAGCTACTTTAAGGTCATATAAGGAAAAATAGCAGCACTTGAACCCAGGCACTATGCTTATTGGGCCTTACACAATACTCTTATGGCCCTTGGTCCAAGGAATTTTACATGGATACATAGAAAGCATTAAATCAAAGGCCTTTATATATTTACTCAGCCTGCAATCTGGAAGTCCAGGCCTTAGTTCTCATAAAGATGCACAGGTTCAGGATTAATTGTACGCTGAGTTCTATAAAGCCTTTTTGGGAATTATTGACTATGGGTGTAATTACTATAATGATGGCAAATGCTGTAATTATGCCAAATGACATAATTTGTGTGACTGTGGTACATATAAGGAAATCACTAGATTGCATAATTGTTGCACCATGATGAGGCTGCAAGGTTCCCGGTTAAATCAGATAGAGATGTGTATAACCACAGGTCCCAGATTTGAGTTGGGGATGAAAGGATGAAACTATTTAGAAGCTGGGCAAGATAAGCTGTACTTCATTTCATGCATTTAAAAATACATCTTTCAAAACTGCATACATCACTAAGTGATTTACTAAGTTCAAAGAAGCCTGTGTTCCCTCTTTGATGTGTTCTGTAGAGCAGATGGACAGAGTCTGAATGAGGATCTGCTTTGTGAGTATCCTCTTGTGCCACCGTACCTGTCCAGCTGTAGGATTTAGATTTTCTAGTAGGGTAGCATATTCTAAGTCACAGTAAAAGGAGATCCAGAAAAACAACCCAGCTTGGGAGACTTAGGCCATTAATACTGACATAGCTTGAGTGTTGAATGTCCACGTACTAAAGACTTGGCCCTGGAACAGCATGCCCGGAGGTAGTGGGACCTTGGGAGATGGAGCATGCTGGAGTGTGTTAAGAGGACCATGAGCCTCTAGCCCTTCCTCTTCTCTTTCGCTCCCTGGCTTGGGGTGAAAGGAGCTTTCTTGCCAGGAGGTGCTGCTTGCTATGCGTGCTTTGAGTATCAGGACCAGTCAGTCATAGACAGGACCCTTCCAAACAGAGTCCAAATAAGCCCTTCCTCTTTAGAGCTAGTTATCATCTCAGGCATTTTGTTACAGTGCTAGAAGGGTGACTAACACAAGCTATAGTTTCGACCTTAGGGCAAGTGAAGACTGTCAATTGCTAAGCCCCCTGCGCTAGCCTGGCTTTGTAAAATCAGAGTGAAAGTCACTAATTCCCTAAGTTGGCACAACAGCTTAGCATCTTTAAAAGAGAAGCAGGACAATAGAGGTTAGGTGATGGTAGAGCTTGCTAGTACCTGAAGAATGTTCAAAGCACTACTCTGAGTGATTGTCATGTTTACAGTGTATATTACATAGAAAGATACATATAGTATATACTCAAGATATTTATTATGTATAATTATCTATATAGAGCTAGGCTATATGTATGCATATGCACACATATACTTATTTCTATAGTCATTAGAATGTAAATACAAATGGAAATACATTCCTTGCAGGCCATATTCAATTTGCAGGATAAGTCCTCTAGCCCTATAGTATGTATTAGTTTTGAAAACTTAATGTGACTACATGACCATATAGTATTTGTGATAGGAAAAACAAAAGGTTTTAAAGTGTTTTGTCATGTCATCCTAAATAATGTTGATGTCCATTTTGTAAATATATTTTTTTAAATGGGGATAATTATAGAACTGTAAGAATGTGAGTCATTCTTGTATTGGGGAACAGTAGAAGAGAAAAGGCTGGAATGTGACCACAAATGTGCATTTTCCACTGGGTAGAAATGGTGCTCAGCACTAACTGTAAGGCTTATTGTACAGTATATTGTCAGCACTCTTGTGGGTCAGCATACCTCACTGTTCAGATGTAACCTGCATTCATTATTTAGAATGTGCGTTAAAATCTGTTACCAAGTTGTTAGCACATGGGAGTGAAAAACGGTCATTTTTAATATTTTGTTCATAAATATCCTTACTATCATAGCTAATGAAATGTTTCAAAAAATCAGCTGTAAGAAAGTAATTTTAGTACACAAAACATTTAAAAATGGACATAATTATAGGAAATAAGATAACTTATCCTTGTATTTGAGGGCAAGGAAGGACAGAAGGACACAGAGGCTCTGTTCTTCTGATACTCCGGAATCTCAGGGATGGGAGAGCATTGAAGGCCACTCAATTCCCTATTTACTTAATGGGCTTACATAGTAAATGGAAAATAAAGAAAAAAGTATAGGAATTCCAACTTACAGGCTTTGGAGTTTTCCATGGAGAAAAGAAACCTGGAATAAAGAAAACAACATTTCAACTTGGAAAACATATCCGACGGCCACGCACAGATTTCACGATGCTAAGATGATTGTATTTCACTTCAGATGAGTTGAGAGCTCTCAAAACAGCTCCGAAGCAAGCGCTGCGCAGCTCTCTTCAAGGAGTTCAGGGAATCTCTTGGGATTACACCCACGGATCCAAGAACACTTTTCTTTATTTGGCAGCTGAGAATTCTGAGATGCAAAAGAGTGAATAATAATGGCAGACATCTGCTTTAGGAATCCCAATCCTGGGCCATCCTTAGGGGTTCTTGTCACCCAGCAAGAGCAGGGGAGATGGAGAGAGTAGCGAGGTAAAAAGTTAGACTTTTGAGGTAAATTCCATGGCTTAATATAAGAAATAATTCTGAGTTTATGGCCCCATTTAATGTACTTTAAAAATAGCAAATCTTTGTTATTCCTATGTTCAAAAATAATGAATACATCTCTACTACGACTCAGATCTTATTAAATCTCACATGTTAATGTCCCCCACTGATACCTCTCTATTGAAGGTTTCTATTATCTTTGTGCCCCAATCTAGCACATGCCACATGACAGCAAGTCAGTGTTTGTTTTTGAAAAGAAAGCGGAAAGATGCTTTAACATAACGGTGCTGGAACTGACGTATACTGTCCCTAACAATCCAAAACCTAATCTGCCATACACAAAAATTACTTTCTTCTCATATCATATCTTTTCCCCTTCCAACAATTTTTTGCTTATATTAATATTAGGTTATGTCTAATAAAATGTCCAATAAAAATGAAACATTGAGACTATTCCTCATGCCATGTTTATCATCTTTAAAACCAAGACTGCCAAAATGGGAAGAGATTACAACCGTTTACGGGAAAAATCTACAGATATTTGGAAACAGAATTATCTAGGTACTTAAGCAATCTAGCTCAGGCATGTCAAAAATACTAATTATCCCTCAGTGGCCCACTGCAACATACTGTAGTATACGTATCCCTTCCATAAGGAAGAGAGGGGACCGTGCAGTCCAGCATGTTTTACAGCCTTCTCTGGGACAATTGAGCCAGTGCTCAGATGTACCCACCATGCTGGTAGAATCAATGTCATCCCATATACTCTGTGCCTAACTCTTTTTTATGTCATGAAATAAATTTTAATCAATGTGTAGTTTGGTTATAAGGACTTATAATTTTTTTAAAAAAAGAATTTAGGATAAAACTGAAAGACTACACACATTTCTTTCCTTGACTGTTATATAAAATGCTGAAGACAACAACATAACCATGAGTTTAAAAGTGGGGGAAAAGTAACCCACATGCCATTTATTTTATCTTTTGAGGAATTGCCAATGAGAGTTTTTCTTTTTTTTTGAGAAAAGATATTGTTTACACATTTTTACAGTGTCCAAGCATTCAGATTTCCTTCAGTCTTTCTGCGCAGTCTGGCATCAGGATGCTGAGTTATTTGCCGGGTACTGGAAGTTTCTCTGACGTTGATGCAGAAGTACTGAAAGTGTTCTCTGTTAGGGAGCCATTGCCGCCACATGCAACATTATTTTAAAAAATTCTTCTTTCTCCTGTAGAAGGGATATGATCACCTGACCCCTCAGCAGTAGTTGTGATGCCAGAACTAGAGTGGCCTAAGAGGTGCATGGACAAGGAGACCCATGATGAAGTTCCCACAGCACCACAGCGTATCTTCTTACAAAGCTTTTGCTCAGGTGTACTCCACACCAGGAGCAGGGCCCACAGTTCTTACTACAGCAGTTTCTGAATATGGCTACTGCTGAGAAACACTGAGAAGCCAAGCCTGCCCTCTCTAATTATTACCAATGTGGAGTTTGGAGATAGGTAGGAGGAAGTGTCAGAATATATTCTTTAGAAGCAAATAATGAACACTTTATTACATTTCTTTGGCAAATTATTAATCACGTTACAAACATTTAAATCAATCTGACTGAAAACATTTATCTCAGATATACTCGGTTTAGTCCTAATTAGGTTAGAGGGTCATGCTTTCTGCATGATTAACCTCCAATCTTCTGCTCAACTTCATTGATAGAACTATACAAATACTATAATAGAATGGGTCAAAATATCATATATTATAAATGTGGCATAACTATAATTTCTTGATGGAATGTCTCCCTAGGAAATCCTGTCTATTCCTAAGAACATTTAAAGAAAAACATCACAAAGAAACAAATAAGACCTTTTAAGTCTTTTATGAGACATTCAAGTTATTATACTGAGGTTTATTTCTGATTTTGTTTTCTGGTAAGAGAATATCACAGACTTCCAACAACTGGGAAGCCTTATGTACATCCACATGCACACATATATGTATAGTGACTCTATGCAGCAATTTCTGCTGGCATGTTTACTTAAATTTTGCTTGCTGTGTTTTGTTCTTCCAGTTCACCTCTTTCCCTGGTCTCTTGAGATGCAGGCATGTCGCCTGGGGCCCTGTCCTGTGCACTTTACTAGGTTTGGTGAGACAATTGCTTTGTGGCTTGTAACTGCTCAGCCCCAGGGAAACAAGGAGAGATATAAACTCCTTTTCTCAAGCCTTTAAGAGCTACGGTCATCCTCATTATGAAACCAAGGCCATTGGAAATGGGCTTTTCTATGTTTTAGTTTCTGGCTTGTAGTTGCTACTGCCATAGCACGTGCAGATTGGAATGGTCCTGAGGGATTGAAGCTTGTTTAATTATTTGTCTCGTAACACCCATGCCAGTCATTTACTATCTTTCATGTTCAGCAGCATACAATTCTGTATGCGTACAAATTCAGACACATTTCTTGAGTTTTGAGACCACAGAAGCAGAAGGCTTCAGAGTAGCATTCTGAATTAAATAAAACATGAGTAGTTACAGATGAGAAAGTTTAGATTAACCTGCTAGGAAAATTTAGACACATTCTCATATAAAGTTCATCAGATTCCTGTCCTTTTGGAAACATGTAAAACTAAAAGTCTGCCTAGAAGCATAGTAAGATGGGCAGAGAAAAATACAGCAAAAAATGCTTAAATAAGAAATTTGGTTCATTGAAAATGGCAAGCTGACTAAAGAGGCCAACACTGACTTCATATTGCAGTTTACGCTGAATTTATATATGTCGACTAACCACAGCTTTAAGCACACTAAGGCTTATAGCCACTAGATAAGAGATAATATGTCTAGCTAAATTTAAATTCCCGGTAAGCAATTTTGCAGAACAATATGTCTCACATATAACATGAAACGTATTTCATGGAACATAATGTTTTTGTTTATCTGAACTTGAATTTAACTATGAATTTGGTATTATTATTTACTAAATCTGCCAACCTCAAGCAGGAAAGAATTTATATATGTCTTAGCAACTATTTAAAAGGTAACTAGCATCTAGTGTTTGTCATGTCCATTCATTTCAGTGGGACAAAGCAGAAAACATTTAGTGTTTCTTCCAAGTCTGGAATGTCTTTGCATTTGCCATATAGATCTTGGGTTCTGTGGGGTGCTTGGCCAAGGGCTGGACTCCAGAGATGCAGAGCCCTGTGGCCAGTGTGGATGTTACCCAGGACCAGTTCTACATTGTGGTGCTGTTCTCACAGTGCTTCTTCCTAAGCAGAATACTCAGAATGGCTCCCTTCAGAACAGCCTTCTGAAACTTGATACTTCAAATGAAAGAAGCATATGGAGAAAGAAATCAGGGGAATACTTCCATTCACAACAGCCTAAAAGTTATCTAACCTGAGACTTGTACAATGAAAGTACGTTATGACAAAGAAGCAAGAAACTGAAGAAGACGCCGATGGTGAAAGATCTCCATGTCCATGGATTGGCAGTATTAGCACTGTGGATGGCCATCCTACAGAAGGCACGTTCAGATCTCACGCAATCCTCAGTAAATCCCACTGCAATTTGTCTTACAAAATGAGAAAACATTTTAAATTTAATATGGAAACACAAAAGGCACAGGGCAGCCTAAACAATTCTGAACAATAAAAGAATAGCTAGAGGCATCACCATCCCAGATTTCAAGTTACACTACAGATCTATAGTAATAAAAACAGCATGGTACTGCCATAAAAACAGTACATTAATCAATAGAACAGAATCAAGGACCCACATGTAAATCCCACATTTATAGTCCCCTGATTTTTGACAAAGAGACTAGCCACATACATTGGAGTAAAAAAAAAAAAACAAAAAAACAAAACAAAAAACAAAAAAACAGCATCTTCAACCAATGGTGCTGGTCACACTGGATGGCTACACATTCATGCTGTATAAAACACAATTCTAAATGGATCAAGGACCTTAACATCTAAATCTGATCAATGAGAAAGTGGGGTCTATCTTGAACTCATTGCGGGCAGGAAAGGACTTTCTGAACAGGATCCCAATAGTGCAGGCTTTAAGGTCAACCACTGACAAATGGGACCTCATAAAACTCAGATGTTTCTGTAAGGAAAAATCACTGTCATCAGTGAAGAGACAGCCTAAGAGTTAGTGTCTAGATTATACAAGGAACTGAAAAACTAAACATCAACTCAATTAAAAATTGGGGCATGGAACTAAATAGGTAATTCTCAAGAGGAGAAATACATGTTACTGAAAAGCATTTAAAATATTTAACATCCATAGCTATTAGGGAAATGCAAAGTTAAATTACTTTGATATTTCAACTCACTCCACTCAGAATGGCTAAGATCCAAAATAAATAAATACCAAAACAAATGTCACTGCTGGTGTTGTGGTATGGTGTAGGGAATGAGGAACACTTATTCAGTACTGATGGGAATGCAAACTGGTGCAACCAGTATGAAAAGCGATGTCTCACAGACTAGAAACAGATGTATTATAAGCCCGCCACACAGCTTTATCATTCTTGGGCATATACCTGCCTATTCATGATCACAGATGCTCTTTTTACAACAGCCATGAAATAGAAACAGCTTAGATGTCTATCAGCTGCTGAGCTGATAATGAAGACATGTGGTACCTTTAC